CACTAAAGTCAAAGCCCTAATTTGCTTCTACAACTGTTTCCCCAAGACCTAACTGCTTCAGCCCTCTGGACAGGCTGGGCGAAAGCTGGATTTAAGGTTTCACTCCCTCCCATAGTGAAAATTCCATGTTCTGGTCCAGTTTTAATTTGCATGGTAGATTCCTAATTTATTGTTAATAAATGTAAATTGCCTCAAGCACTGAGCTAGCTAGATGAATGCAAAGCACTGCTTTTCTTAATAAAAAAGTTTGTGGTCCATGTGTCAATTATCAGACTAAGCAGAACTTGCAAGTACAATGGTTCTCAGTGTGCAGCTGGCCTCTCTAGAGAGATGCAAAATAAAACCAAGGGAAGCATGCGTTTTCTCTGGCCCTCACGTGTGTGTCTCGCAGGGTAGATTTGATTTAAATCATATCGATTTAAATCATGATTTAAATCACGATTTAAATCACTAGTCAGTAAGACTTGATTTAAATCATATATTTTTTAACAGAAAGACTCATTCTTGCTGGTGTAATCTTAATATTTACAATTGGGAAGAAGGGGCTGGAACCTGTGAACTCTTATTAGTTGACTGGCAAGCACTTCAAGGTCTCACCAAGGACTTACAGATCCCAGTTACTATTTCCTCCACCACCCCAATGGATTTGCGTCTACATTCAGGTGCCTATTCTGTACAGTTAAGTGTGAGTGCAGTGGTTGGAACCCAGTGGGATTGGGAAGAGTTTGCCAGCCCTGAAGTGCCTTCAGCACTTGCCTCAAGTCTGAGTTGCACAGACATGCAACTGACTTGCACAATTATTACACAAAGATCCCAAGACTTGTGGAGTATTGTGCAGATCTGTTCCACTCCAAACCATCTATTCATTGAACCTCTTGGAACTTAGCATTTCAGAGGTAAGGGGGTTGATATAAATTTGCAAAGGCACAATGGGATTAAGGTTTTTCCTCAACTCTGTATGTTTATTTTGTAACATTTTTCCTGTGAAGAAAAGGCATGTTATCTTTGCAGACACAAATTCACACTTTGGAGAACTGCAAAAACAAGCATCTGTGATAATATCTTCTTAGAAAAACTGCCCCAAATAATCTTACACAAACCTCTCAAAGAGCATGACATTGTGAATGGATTAATGGAATTCATTTACCAAAAATTTTAAACATTGCATATAAAGCCTCATGCTACATAATTAAAAACAAATTCTTATTTCCTGATGAATAGCCTTTGGACTATAATGTAACATAAATAGAAAACTAGCCTTAGAAAGATTTTTTTTCTCCAAAAGCATGTTATTTTAAAAAATCCAATTTAAATAAAAAAATCTGATTTAAATAAATAAAATGGATTTTTAATTTTTTTTTACAAAATCATTGATTTTTATCCACCCTGGTGTCCCGGTTGGCCGGGAGCTAGAGGTCAATGTAAGGCTTTGGAAAAGACTGATCTAAAACTTCTCTTCCAATTATGCTAGGGTGTTTTTGTTTTTCAACAAACTTGTGTGGAGTTTTGTCTGTGGAGGAGCATTCAGAAGTGGGGGGAAAAACTTGTGTTGATTAATTCTTGCATTAAATAGTTTGCATATTCTTCTTGCCCTTTCCAGCATGTATCTGTGCTGTGACTTGAGGCATGTGTGAGAGAAGAGGTGAATCAGCCAGCAGCAAGGATGCAGTTGTAGCAGACAGAGATATCATCTAAGCCGATAACCAGGGAAGGATCCCAGGGTAGCCACGCTTGCCTTATGTGGCAGAAGATGGGGTGACTTGCTTTCCTGACTAGTTTATTATGTCAATTATTATAAACAGCACCAGCTGTTTATCCTGGCACTGTCCCTGGGGAATTACTGATTAGCCAAGGTTGCAGGTTCAATCCCTGTATGGCACAGCTGCAGATTTCTGCATTGCAGGAAGTTGGACTAGATGATCCTCAGGGTCCCTTCCAACTCTACAGTTCTATGACTCTGTGATTCTGAGTGTTTCACTTCCCCCATGGTGTACAATACCTGAGCAGACTTTAACCATTTCCTAGATGGAGTTGTGCTGCCAATGACAATTGCGTTGAGGTTGGAAAGTAAGTACTCCAGGCTGCTTTGTGGCTGCTTGGTGTGTGAACTCTTGAGTAGACCAGTTGGCAAGGAGATGCAGAAGGGCTCTAGCCGACTAGGATGTATTCCAATCTGCCACCGAAAGTTCATTTGCAAGGAGCTGAGGGCACAGATGAAGATATAATAATCAGAGACATCTGTATCCCTCAGAGTGAAAAGTGATGGAAACTAGTCCAAGTCCTAGATTGGGTAGGGAACTGGACTGGGGCAGTCTGCTGGATCCTTATCTCCCCCTCCCACCATGGGCCAATTTAGACCAGTTGACTTTGGGGCCACCCATTTTTGCTTGTATAGTTCGAAATTGAACTGTGCAATCAAAGTCAAAGCCTGCAAAGTGCCAACCGCCAGATGATTATTGGGTTTTGCGGAGAACTATGCAGCAGGCTTCTCAAGCCCTGGTCATCAGCTGATAGTTGGACCTTGAGAACCAGATGCACAGTGACTTGTGGGTGCTGCCAGTCAGCAGACTTCCTTTTAGGACTGCCACACCTTTATGGTCTGTATGAGGTCCGGTGGGCCTGGTTTGGTTGAAATAGCCTCGAGGGACAAATGGGGAGATCTGATGGGCCTATTTAGGCCCATGGGCTAGATGTTCCCCACCATTGGCTTAGAAGGTCTAGTGGTATTACTTAAGCCTCCATCTTGTGTGTCTGAGTCTGTGTGTGAGTTAGACAGAGCTCTTAAAATGCAGCTAATTTTGTTGCTTGCTGTCGTTTTTTTTAAAAGCAAGCAACATGTCATGGTGGCAGCATGGAATGGTTATGGTGTAATGTTCAGGTTTTTCCTATATTGTAATGGTTCCAAGCCCATGATTATGTTTTGTAAGGCTTACTTGAACAGATTGCCGTGTGTTGCTTACCGAGAGGATGTGGTGGAGGGCAGGTTGGTGCGATGCAAACCCAGAAGCAGGAGTACATGAACCTCCCTTCCCCTCTTGGGAAGCCACAGTGACCCACTTGCCTGGTACTCACCCAGTAAGCCACGTATAGGTGGTAAGGTAAAGGTAAAGGTACCTCTGCCCGTACGGGCCAGTCTTGACAGACTCTAGGGTTGTGCGCCCATCTCACTCAAGAGGCCGGGGGCCAGCGCTGTCCGGAGACACTTCTGGGCCACGTGGTCAGCGTGACATCGCTGCTCTGGCGAGCCAGAGCCGCACACAGAAACGCTGTTTACCTTCCCGCTGTTTACCTTCCCCCTATTTATCTACTTGCACTCAAAGGTGCTTTTGAACTGCTAGGTTGGCAGGTGCTGGGACCGAGCAACGGGAGCGCACCCCGCCGCGGGGATTCGAACCGCCGACCTTTCGATCGGCAAGCCCTAGGCGCTGAGGCTTTTACCACAGCGCCACCCGTGTCCCGTTATTTCACAGCTGCACAGAGAATTCTCTGAATTTATAATGTGTGGATGCTGGAACTCCAGAAAGAAGGAGGAGCAGATTTAAAAAGGATGAATGGCAAGCAGCAACAAATGACCCCAAAACTAGATGGTGAGAGGGAGGAAAACATTATTTGTTACCTTTGGTGACTTTCATTTTAGGGTTGTTAAGAGAAAGAGATTCCATGGTTACTAGCAATTATGCTCCCCCATCCCCCTCTGGTTTTTCACAGGTGTGCTGCACTAATAACCCTTTTCCAAGTTACATTTCTAAAATAGACAAAACGAACTGTTTACATGATCAACCTTGAAGATATAATTCACTGCAGTTTCACTGGACTGATGTAAATGCTGAAGTTTAAATATTTGGATTTACAGCCACATGGATGATCAGTTCAGCTCCTGCTGTATAATTCCAGGCTAGGATGACATCGGTGGAAGGGAAGTGTTGGCTTTCTACCAGAAATCTCAGTTGCTTTTGGGCACAATGTGTGTGTGTGTGTGTGTGTGTGTGTCTGTGAACATAACTAAGCTTCCTGTAAAATTTTGAGTTCCTTCCATGCTGCTTGGAAGTAAATTCTAATGGATTTAAGTTACTTGTTTCTGTGTAGCACATTGAGGATGGCAGACTTAGAAAATAGAGTTAGTGTTGGATATGGCTTTGGGGCACCTGAGTTTGAATCTCCACCCAGTCATCTTGTGTCTTCTTCTTGGCTACTGGTCTTCATCAGATGGGATGGGGCCTAATACTGTGTCACAACGGCAAGCACTATCACTATTCAGATATATGGAAGAAATTTAAGAAGTTTGTCCCCAAGTGCAACCAAAAACTTGGTTGTGTGTCTGAATGGTGGGGAGTCTGTAATGGTGGGGAGATTCTGTGGCGGAGCAACTGCAAGGTGGTAGGTGGGGTGTTCCTTGCTTTCCCCTTCTGTGACAATCCGTGAGAGGCAACAAACTGTTCCAGCTCCAGGGCTGGTGTAGTTTAGGACCTGTTTGGGGGGCATGTTGGGGGAACGAGGGGACTTAGAATTCTGTGTCTTCTTGGCTGCCCCTGGAAGTCCCCTGAAGCCCCCTGTTTTGACTTCAGTGCCAGTAGGACACTCTCTCTCTCTCTCTCTCTCCCCCCCCCGAGCTTCTGGGGGCTTCTGGCCGTGCGAGTGCCGTTCTATCAACAGACCTCTTCCCCCACTGTCAGAGTGGCACATGCGCAATATCCAATGGTCTTTCCACAGTTTTAGAATTGCAACTTAAGTGAAATAAATTAAGATAGCTTATTGATCTTGTGCTAGTTGTACACTTTCGCAACCCAACTACCTCCCAAGGTTGTTAGCTTCTTGGAGGAAGAATGAGGTACAAAAGTGATAAATTAAAGTTGATTTGTTGAGCTTTGTGATATTTCTGTAGCTTACTAGTGTCGATATACAGCATCCTCTGGGTGAGAAATGTGGCTGAGTTTTTGTTTGGGCTCTTCACCCCCTTCTGCTCCTGTTTTGAAGTTTTATGGTTTTATTGTTTTATTCAGGTATTAGTGTGAAGAGAGCTGAAGTAATGAGAAGTCATCATGGAAGCCCAGTCCCATAGCTCTACGGCGGGTGAGAAGAAAAAAGTTGAGAATCCTATAGTGAAATGCTCCACTCGAACAGATGTCAGTGAGAAAGCCGTTGCCTCCAGCACAACATCCAATGGTGAGTAACAGCAGGGATTTACTAGCAGCCAAACCTGCAGTAATTTAATGTGTGCTGCATTCCTTGTGAATTGAGCTTTTGCACCTGGATTCAGCATTCATTCTGAGATAAGGCTAAAGCCAGCTAGCAGGCAGAGGAGATGGGAATGGGAACGTGCGCGTGCGCATATATACACACACACATAGAGACAGAGAGACAGAAAGAGACCCCTTTTCTGGTACCAAACCTTGTATTTTTCTCCAAATTATCTAATTTGAACTGTAAATAGTGATGTTATTTATTATGGAAGTTCCTGTTGTGGCTTTTTGGAAAAGAATTGTGATTAGCTTGGAAAGTATGCAAATGCCTTGTGGTTTACGTTGGAAATTGTTTACCCTAATTAGATACAGTGGTACCTCAGGTTACATACACTTCAGGTTAAATACACTTCAGGTTACAGACTCTGCTAACCCAGAAATATTACCTTGAGTTAAGAATTTTGCTTCCGGATAAGAACAGAAATTGCGCTCCGGCGGCGCGGCAGCAGCAGGAGGCCCCATTAGCTAAAGTGGTGCTTCAGGTTAAGTACAGTTTCAGGTTAAGGACGGACCTCCGGAACGAATTAAGCACTTAACCCGAGGTACCACTGTAATTGGTTAGTGCAAGAGAGACAAAAGTGACCTTGCCAAAAATTAACGTCTTTCTTTCTTTCTTTCTTTCTTCTCTCTCTCTCTCTCTCTCTCTCTCTCTCTCTCTCTCTCTCTCTCTCTCTCGTTGTAAACATCCTCTCTTCAAAATCTCCTCATGGATTTCTTTAACCACTCACTGTGAAACAGTTAACTTATAAAGAAAACATGCTCTTTTAAAGAAATGTAAATATATAGTTTGCAGAAATTTACTTGGTTCCCTCTAGAGTGCCTTTGCTCGTTTGGTAATTTGACATGCACACTGACGAAGCTTTCCCTTTCCCCCCACTTCCCGATTAAATTGAAAAAGACTAAGGTCATTGTTCAAAACCTCTGTTGTAGCGACTGAACCACCTTTGCTTCACAAAATAGTAAGAAGAAAGGAAGGAAAAAAGAATATGACTTCTGTCGGAGGTGTAGTTTTAGAAGTAAACGTAGCAGCTCACTCTCTGATCTAGTGTCCTATGATTTTCTTGAGGGTACCTATCAGATCTCTGAATATCATTTTAAACTATACAGGATAAGTTGGGTGCCTCCACTCACCTGTAATATGCCACAATAATATGTATTCTTCTTCTCACTTGCTGAATGGTGCAATATTGTAATGCTTACTTGAGACTGATAATGAACCAGTTTTTTGTTTTGTTTTGTACTATCCCTGTCTGTCTTTTATATTGTGTATCAACTGAATCAAAGGTTTATGCAAATAATAAAACTTGTGGAAGATTTCTTGAAAAATATGTGGCTGATGCAATGGATAGGCCACACTGCAGCCACACTGTGTGAAATTGGTAAGATGACACACACCACATCCTGGTGGTTAGATGTGTCTCTAGAACAGTAAGGTGGACCTGAAACTCATACCCTTTGTATTGATCCTTGACAGTCCTGTGGACCAGCAGTGATGATCACATATCACAGAAACACCCCCTTGGTCAGGGTCATTTAGTCCAACCCCTTCCAGTGCAGGAATCCTGCCGATAGTCATCCCTGGGTGGTCTTGAACCACCAACCTTCTGATTAACAGTCAGATGCACTGACCCATCGTGCAACATTGAAGCTCCATTCCTGTATATTGGAAGCTGTATGTTTTGAAGCCCTACAGATGTGCAGAACGTCATGTTGGTAGCACCAGTGGATGGTCGGGTGGCCCCTGTTCCTTTCATGGCATGTTCACAGAGCAGTGGAGCAAATGACAGTTCTACCATGTGTGCTACTTACAACGTAAGTAACAGGAGTCCGGTGGCACTTTAGAGAACAATAGTTAGTGTGGCATACCTTTGTGGGCCTAGTTCAGTCTTCCTCAACCTCGGCCCTCCAGATGTTTTTGGCCTACAACTCCCATGATCCCTAGCCAGCAGGACCAGTGGTCAGGGATGATGGGAATTGTAGTCTCAAAACATCTGGAGGGCCGAGGTTGAGGAAGCCTGGTCTAGTTCATCAGTTGCAACTACAGAATGAAAATATGCAAGCTCTCAAGAAACGTGTTCAGTGTTGTATTTTTCTTCTACTTGAATCAAGTGTGCTTGATTCAGTTTTATTTACATAAATCACATTCATGTTCTGGCCCTATGCATGCACCAAACAACCAGAAGTGGCTCTAAATAAACTAAAGGGGGCTTTCTGCTTCCACAGTGACCTATGTAGGAGCTCCAGTTGTACTCATATATCTTGAGTATGTTACTTCTAACCTTGGTGGTGTATCATGCATACATTCCTAATAATTCTTAGTATTTGCACGGAGCATTCTGAGTGTTCAAAGTGTTTATATACATTCTATCAGCAATCCTTACAATTCTTGTAAGATAAGCCAGTTAGATATTGCAGGTAGGAATGGCGGGGGGGGGTGTTTGGAACTGAGAGAGCGATGGTTTATTACCTGAGTCACCAGTGGCTGGGATGCATTTTGAATTGGGGAGTCAAAGCCACTATTTATTTATTCAAGAAAATTCATATACTGCTTGATTGTAAGAAACCTCAAGGTGGTTTACAAAACGATTTAAAAAAAATAATTGAAAAAACACACACCACAACCATACTTTAAAACTTTGCCAAATGCAAATGCAGTATGCTAACTCCAGGATACAGTAGCTTGAAGTGTCAAGTTAATAAACAAGGATGGAGCCCTGGGTTTGTACAAATAGAAATAAACAGATATGTCTGATAGGAACTTGAATGAGGGAAAGTTCTCATGGTGCTTTTCGTTAAGGTAAAGTCACCACAGAATGATTTTACCTCATCCATTTCTTGTAATGAATATTTCTTAGGAATGCGCCCACATACAGAGACAGCTGGCGTTTATCATGTTGGAGATCCTGTTAGCTGTCAGACCTTTCTCCAGACCAGCCCTCCCAGATCCCAGCCATGTGGGCCCCATGTGTTTGCACAGAGGAATCCTCCTTTGGACGCAAGAGACAAGACATGGCAAATCTCTCACGGCCGGTCCTTTCTAAAACGTGTGAAAGAGCCCTTAGTAAAATGAGAAAGCGAGCTGCCAGAGTGCAGAACAGAAGAATTGTTTCTGGACTGAGACCTTCAGCCGCACTAACAGAGAAATGCTAAGCATGTCTACTCAGAAGTAAGCCTCAGGAATGTATGTGTAGGCTTGCAGCCTTAAAATATTACAGTGAGCCAAGCCATTTTGCGCGAGTTTAAGCAGGTCTTTGGATCTTGGCCAGTATAGTTATTTTGATTAACATGAACTAAGATTTAGGGCTGCTGGGTATGATTTTCCCTTAGGAATATAGTCTGGTACCTATTGGCCACAACAGCTACACAGCCGCATGCCTGAAGGCATAAGTAAAGGTCTTGGTGGGTGCGCTGTGCCATAGTTGTGTCGGACACCTGTGTAATCAGGAATGCGTTTAACAAGGATATTAATTACCTTTGGTGAGGTGTGAATTTGAATTTATTAATGCATATATAGTAGCCCTAGACTCTCAGAGGAAAAATGATTTATACAAGTAAAACATTATTAGTATAAAAGTGTTTGAGACATTTTTCCTGCAGTAATGCCAAATTGTGTGTTTAAGTTTTGGGACTCACCCCAATGTTAACCAAATGATGAAGTTATTCAGGTGATAGGACTTAAAGGAAGTACTTCTTTACACAGTGTTCGGTTAAACTATGGAATTAACGCAAACTATGACAATAGTCTGTTCCTCTGTGCCTTTGTAAGTTGGTAGCTATCAGTGGCCTCTAGTTCTGATGTCTGTATCCTTCCTCCAGGCTTAGAGCCTCAGGATACCGGTTTCTGGGGGAGAGTATCAGGGAAGAACTGTTTCCTTCATGTCCTCCTTCTAAGTGTCCCTGAGGTATCTGGTTGACCACTGTGGGAAACAGGATGACGGCCTTGATCAGCATTTGATCCAGCGATATTTGGCCTTATGTCCTTATCTTAGTATTTGTAAGTAATCCCCTCTCTCCTTCCACATAGCCTTCAGCTGCACGCTTTTCTATATGTGGGAGAAATCCATACACACCGTCCTCAGCCTGGATGATCACACATCTGGGATTTTTCTAGCTTGTGGGGCGAAAATTAATGGAGTTGAGTTTTAATCATGCAATCCCGTTTGTTTGGATTTACTGTAATGGCTCTGCTTTAGGCTGAGACAAAATCTAACTCTCTTGCACCGAAATTCATGGGCTCTAAAAGTGTTTAAGATTTTGCTGATGTGTGCCCACATTATCTTCCTCATAGCTAATAAAAAGGCTTTAGGCTGCAATCCTATGCACACTTAGACTCAGTGGTCCTAATTCTGAGTAGATATGTATAGCAGGGGCAGGCAGACTTCAGGTTTATGAGATATACTTTCTTTATTTATTGTTTTGCTGGAACACTGAGGACCACTAACAGAAGCCAACTGCAAAACAGTAGCTGGGGATGGAGCCTAGTACAGAATGGTGACTTAGAGCATAGCCTCACTTATCCCCCACGAGCCTGAATATAGAAATACAAATCTGCATCGGACTTGCTAATAACACAGAGCTATCCAGCAAAGCTGCACAAAGTTCTGGTGAAAGGCAACCAACAAATACTTTTATTTTACACTTGAGGAACAATTTGCCTGAGAGGTAAATTATTTGGCATGGCAGTTAATTCCCTCCCTTTCAATTTTCCTTCCTGTTGTTATGACTATTGGGAGTCAGAAAACTTTGTAGATCTACTACAAATCACCCTGGGATATACTGATAGCTCCTAATCTACCACCTGCCCATCTCTGATGTACAGCAGAAGATGGTTAATCATTTCAATCTGTGGATTAACCACCTAAAGCTTTATTAGGTTGACCACTAGGCACTAGTTTTTTTACTTGTTTTTCACGTAAGGTCACC